CTTGGCTGGTCACTTTTGGCTTTTGATGTGGATGGAGATGGAAATCGTGATCTCCTGGTTGGCTCTCCTTATGCACCTGGTGGTGGAAAACAAAGGGGAATTGTGGCTTCCTTTTATTCTTTTTCAAACAGAAGCTGCCAAGGTGACATTTGTTAAAAAAATGTGTTCTTGTATCTTATGATATTCTTTCTTCTGCTTTATCTAAAGCTCACTTTGAAATATTTTTTAAAACAAGAGTGATAATCTTTTCCAACAATAAGTGTTGTATTGCTAATAATAGACTTCGGCTGATGTCTTTAATACTCAAAACTCATAAGCCTAAGATCCAGTCTGATGCAAAGGATTTATATTCCATAGCAGTGTCTTTTATTGGGAACCGAAATATATTTCTGCCTTAAGCAGTGTCATCATTATGTGCTTACTGGAGATGCCAAGGAACTGCTGCTAAAAGGGTGTTGTTGCTTTGTGCTGTCAAGTCGGAACTGACTTATAATGACCCCAATAGAGTTTCCAGTGTAAGTGAGCTATGTGAGATGTTTAAGGAATAGTTTTACCAGTTCCACACCCCAGTGAGCTTCCATGACTGAGCAGGGATTCAAAACCTCGTCTCCTGAGTCCAAGTCCATCCACTACACTGCATTGTGTATCCCACTAAAAGAGTACCCTTTTCACCTTCTTCACAGACATATACCTTGAACTATCAGATTTCCTTAGTGGTCATTCATGGAAGCATTTGAGGCTCACCCAAATCTCTGGACTACCAATGATGCCTCAATCACTTCTGTGAGGGGAGCGAAAAGAATGTGTACAAGCTCAGAAAATTTTACTTATTCAGCATCTCTGTACGTGTGGGAGACTGTTTGTTTATCTGGTCATTCCTAGCAGGGCCAAGGGCCATTTTATGCTCAAGAGACATACTGCCAAGAGGAAGGACATAAAAGGGAAGGATGTGACCAAAGAGGCTAATTGGCATGTTTTAAGAAATGGCAATTGTTACAGTGGGTTTTTGTTAAATGAAAAATTGGTTAACTTTAAAAAAGACTTTTGAAACATTTATGTAAGAATATCTAAATCTCAGAGACTACCTCCAAGTTTATATTTATGGTGTTTTAGCGGTCTGATAAAGGCACTGCTCGCTCTTGGTTATTTTTGTTGTAGTTTTAAAAGGATGCTTGTGAAGTACCTAGATAGAGCAACAGAACCCAAGTTATTGCTTCTTCCATAAAGACATTTAATTGAGACAGTTCTGTTTCATCACTGGAGTGGCTGCTACATTACTTTTTGCAGGAAATATACTGTAATCTTGGCTGGTCACTTTTGGCTGTTGATGTGGATGGAGATGGAAATCGTGATCTCCTGGTTGGCTCTCCTTATGCACCTGGTGGTGGAAAACAAAGGGGAATTGTGGCTTCCTTTTATTCTTTTTCAAACAGAAGCTGCCAAGGTGACATTTGTTAAAAAAATGTGTTCTTGTATCTTATGATATTCTTTCTTCTGCTTTATCTAAAGCTCACTTTGAAATATTTTTTAAAACAAGAGTGATAATCTTTTCCAACAATAAGTGTTGTATTGCTAATAATAGACTTCGGCTGATGTCTTTAATACTCAAAACTCATAAGCCTAAGATCCAGTCTGATGCAAAGGATTTATATTCCATAGCAGTGTCTTTTATTGGGAACAGAAACATACTTTTGTCTTAAGCATCTTCATCATTATGTGCTTACTGGAGATGCCAAGGAACTGCTGCTAAAAGGGTGTTGTTGCTTTGTGCTGTCAAGTCAGAACTGACTTATAATGACCCTAATAGAGTTTCCAATGTAAGTGAGATATTTAAGGAGTGGTTTTACCAATTCCACACCCCCAGTGAGCTTCCATGACTGAGCAAGGATTCAAAACCTCATCTCCTGAGTCCGAGTCCATCCGCTACACTACATTGTGTATCCCACTAAAAGAGTACCCTTTTCACCTTATTCACAGTCAGAGAGAGACATCTACCTCAAACTATCAGATTTCCTTAGTGGTTATTCATGGAAGCATCTGATGCTCACCCAAATCTCTGGGCTAGCAATGGTGTCTCAGTCACTTCTGTGAGGGGAGCGAAAAGAATGTGTAGAAGCTCAGAAAAAAAATTACTTATTCAGCATCTTTGTATGTGTGGGAGACTGTTTGTTTATCTGGTCATTCCTGGCAGGGCCAAGGGCCATGTTATGATCAAGAGACATACTGCCAAGAGGAAGGACATAAAAGGGAAAGATGTGACCAAAGAGGCTAATTGGCATATTTTAAGAAATGGCAATTGTTACAGTGGGTTTGTGTTAAATGAAAAATTGGTTAACTTTTAAAAGACTTTTTAAACATTTATGAAAATATTCTAACAAACTGGGGAATTATGGAAGACCCTCAAAACTTGGTGAGATTTTCCTCTGTGTCCTCTAGTTGTAAAAATACACCGGGGGGGGGGCAATGTTAGACTCCAGCTTAGTCCTGTACATAGTACAAGTTTGATAGGTACCTCTTCCAGGGGGGGTTGCAGTCTAAAACTGATACAGTTTTCACAGACCTCTTAAAAGATTGGCTTATCTGATGTTAAATTTGTGTCATTTTTAACTAGGTAGAGAATAGGAGTGTCAAACCTTAGCTGTCAATAAGTCCAGTTTGCCTCTTTTTGGAATTCATTGATTCTGTTCTTTCAGCAACCTGTGTCAAGTGGCAAAGAGCAGATCCAGAATTTACTGCAGGCATAGGGTATACCCTATATTTATTTATTTATTTAACTTATATGCCGCCCACACTACCCAAAGGTCTCTCGGCAGCTTACAACAATTTAACTATAGCAAAAAAGATAAAAAGATAAAACAATTAAAATTCCAATTAAAAATACAGTGCTATAAAAATTGCTATCAGGACCTACAGTTGATATTATTTCAATTAAAAACCTTCTGGAACAGGAAGGTTTTGACATGGCGCCAAAATGTCATCAACGTCGTTTGATCCCTATAGAGGCTGCATTCGTGCATACAGTTAAAGATCAAACATGCATTGGATTAGATTGTACTTCAATTTATGTTTTGGGTAAAGCTGGCTGGATAACTCACTGGGTTGAAGTACCTAGTTGTGGAGCCAGAGATTGGAGAAGAGCCAGCCTGTTTGTCTTGGGCAAGCTGCAAAGTCTGTGATAACTGCCAGAAGAAGGCACTAGTAGACCACTTCTACTTTATATTTAAGAAACCCTGCTGAAGGTTGTCATAAGTCAAAATTGACTTGATGGCACATAATGATTAAGATGTAAAATGGCTGCTTTCTGTAGTTTCTGATACAGGGTGTAAAACCTATGTAGTCCTGTGGTGCAATAACTGTTTGTCTTTATAGTGTCTGTTGCCAAAAAATGTCTAGCTGCCGAATATTTATAACACCTGGGTTATATATTAGAAAACAGACTATAAGGAGACTTGCAGTACAATTGCAGATGTGTCTATTCAGATAGTCTGGAGTTGACTTGAAGCTTCAATAGTAGCATCAAAAATCAGATCTAATATGTATAATTGAAAAATAGGATTAATAATGCACTTTCTACAGCAAGACTGAACAAAATAAAATACTCGATATTTTCCAGAAGCATACTGTCTTTTATTGATTAATTTATTCTTGTTTGATCTTTCAGGGCAGCTGTCTGTATCGGATGCTGACTGGTTAGTGACGGGAGAAAGAGATTATGCCTGGTTTGGAGCATCACTCAGTAGTATTCAGCTTCAAAACAGAACACTGTTGCTCATTGGCAGCCCTACCTGGAAAAGCTGCACAGGGTATTTTGCTTCTAACATCATGAGTCTGTGTGGGACTGTATCCAGCCTGTCTGTACAATCAGCATTTTTCCTTTTTAACATACATACAGCATGAGATACATAGTCCCAAACCAAAAGCCTTCAGATCTTGAACATCACTTCAGACACCACCTCTGTTAGCTCAGAAAAAAAAACTGCAAGGCAGTGGGTTTGATGGGATCCTAAGAAACCGAATCCTGTCCTCAGTTCTCAGTTCCAGGTTTGGACACTTAAAACTAGTTGGTTGTTGGTCAGGGCATCTGATAAATCCCCCTATATTGACAAGTGAGGAATGAGATCATTCAGGGTGTAGGACTGCAATAGCTAAAACAGGAAAACCATTTTTGCATGTGATTTATAATTGCTGCTTATTTTGTTTTGATTAAAAAAAATACTTCGGCCTTCTTCTATATAACAGGGAATCTAAATATAATTTTTAAAAACCCATTATTTGGTATATACTTATCTGGGGCTGGAGATATATGTTCATATATCTAGATATATATATATGTGTGTTCCTGGGCACTCTTGTGGCCCCAAAATACTCAGCCTCCAAATTAAGTGAAAGGGCTGTAAAACGAGGTAGTACTGTACATCCAAGGTAGTGAACCAAGTTTCCCGACTAAAACAAGGCATTCCCTTCCCCAAGCACTAGGAGGCACAACGTGTGCACTACCCACTGATTTGTTTTAGCCAAACAGATATATCTAGAAACAAAAAAAGGGGCTCTCAGCAGAATGTAAGTGGAATGTCCCCATTCCTGGTTGCTGCATGCTGTCAAACCTTAGCACCACACAGCAATAGAAGGATATGGGGCCTATGGTGAAATTTGGAATACCACAATTAGCGCCTGGATCTACTTAATGTACCCATGCCTGTCCTTAAAGGCACAGGTGAAACTGTACTTTCCATTCTCTAAGTGGAAAATTAAGGTTGGAAAGAATGAATGAGCACTTTTGAGAACCTGCATCTTTCGGATGCTGAGCTTTTCAATCAAGGTAACTGTATTTGAATGTGGTGATTGTATGTCCTGTAATGCCTCCTATGCAGAAGCATTTTTTTAAAAAATCATATTAAATTTCACTAGTCGATTCCTTCTAATATTTTGATTGTAATCATCATGTGTTCTAGTCTAGGCTGCTATTTTGCTCAAAATACCAAGCAGGCTGTTGGAAGGGTATATGGCTATCTCCCACCAAGCACACAAAGCCGGTTTGCTTTAACTGGAGACAAGGTACTGTATGTCCTTTTGGTAAACCTTAAGATGGCAGATATTAAACTATTAAAAGGAAGAACCTAACATCTTTTTAAAAATTAATATGCAGGAAATGGGCAGGTTTGGTTCCTCATTGGCAACTGGTTTCCTTTCTGTAGAAGGAATCCCCAGGCAAGTGCTGGTAGTTGGCGCACCCACACAAGGTATGTGTCGTGGAACATGGGGCAATGTTTCAGCAACAGAGCAAATGATAAAATAACTTTTATAGTCAAAGAATCTAAATGATGCCCTTTTGACTTTGTAAATACTTTTTTTGCTTTGCAACAGCAAAAGGATTTCGGTGCCACTATGTTTATCATTTTAGGGGGTTCTTTGTCTATCCCTCTGCTATATTCTGGCCTCTTCTTGCTTGCATTCATAGAGGAAATAATTTGACCCAGTTCTTCCTAATGTACACATTCTCAATATTTTAAATTAATCTCTAATTGGGAACATTGGCCACAGCTCTACTGTCATATTAAAAGAGAACAATACCTGGCACCCCCTCCCACTGCTGAAATTCTAAGAATTCCAGATCCTAAATAACCATATTGCCATAAACAGGTGCTTGCTATTACTGAACCTGCAGTTGAGGAGAAAAGGTATTCTAAACTGTTAACACATTTTATATTTGGTGTGATTTAATCCTATGTATCTTCTCGATGCCTGCGGATGCTGCTTATTTCCTCCCTATCAGCAGATTTAGTTAATGCTGCACTGGCTGCCCATCCGTTTCCGCATTGACTTCAAAGTGTTAATGCTTACATATAAAGCCCTAACCAGTGGTGTCGAACTGTGGCCCTCCAGATGTTCTTGGACTTCAACTCCCAGAAGCCTTCACCACCACCTCTGCTGGCCAGGATTTCTGGGAGTTGAAAGC